AATATATATATATATATATATATATATATATATATATATATATATATATATATGTATATATGTTGCAACTTGGCCAGAAAAATGTCAAAATTAACCAGAAACAGGCCAAAAGAAATTTCGTAATCCAAATATACTATCCAGAGAAAGAAATTCATATTAAATGTACTATCATCATTGCATAAAATTGTTCCCTGTCACCATGGATTATGTTTGCCTATTCTTGAAATGTGTATAAGTGGAATCATACAGAATATGTTATTTTGGGCCTGGTTACTTTCACGAAGTATAATGTTTCTGAGATTCACCCATGGTTAAGTATGTGTTATGCAATTCATATGTTTTATTTCTAAGCAGTATTTAATTGTATGAATATCTCATATTTTGTTTATCTGCTTTTCTCTTGAGAGCACGGACATTCCTGTATAAATCTTTTGAGGGACACATGCTTTCATTTCTTTTGGAGAAATACCTAGGAGTGGAATTTCTGGGTAATAGGGTGGTATAGTTTGACTTTATAAGAAACTACTAAACAATTTTAAAATTGTTGTATAATTTTATACTCCCACCAGCAAAAAAAGAAAAATGACATTTGATGTTGCCAGTCTGTAATTTTAACCATTTTAGTGAGTGTGAAACAGTACCTCATTGTGATTTTAACTTGCATTTTCTCTCACGACTAGTGATGTTGAGCAACTTTACATATGCTTACGGCCATCTGCATATTTTCTTTTGTGAATTGGCCACATCTTTGTCTTTTTAAAATTGGGTTGTCTCTTATTACTGTTTAGGAAGAATTATTTATACATCCTAGATATAAGTTCTTTTTCATATATATTAATTGGAAATATTTTCTCCTAGTTCATGGGTTTTCTGTTCATTTTCTTAATAGTGTTGTTTGATGAAGAAACAAATTTTATTTTTAATTAAGTATAATTCATCAAACATTTCTTTCATATTTAGAGCTTTTTAAGAAATTGTGGCCTACCTCTAGATAGTAAGGATATTTTCTTATATCTTCTTCTAAAACCTTTATAATTTTAGCTTTTATGCTTAGATCTATAATTCATCTTAAGATAATTGCATGTGGTTCAGGGATCAAGGGTTATTTATTTCTATAGGTACATCAAATTGTGTGGACAACTTTCCTTGAAAAGACTTTTTCCTTTCCCCAGTTAACCACATATAGGTGGATCCATTCCTCGTTTCCCTCTTTTTTTCCATTTGTTTGTATGTCTGTCGATATGCCATACCACACTGTCATGATTACTATAGTTGACAGTAAGTCTTAAAATCAGGTAATATAAATACTCCATCATTTTCATCTGCAAAATTGTTTTGACTATTATAGACTTTCTGCTTTTCCATATACTCTTTCAATCAGGTTGTCAGTTTCTACAAAAATATGTTGGAATTATGGTTGGAAATGCAGTGAATCTATTCATCAACTTGGGTAGAGTAACATTTTAATACTGAGTAGTTGTCTCCAGGAATCTGATACACTTCTCTATTATTTAAGTCTTCTTTTCTTTTTTGTAACAATGTATTGTAGTTTCAGTGTATGGTCTTACACGTTTTATTTTTTAAGTATTTGATGCTTTTTATACTATTTGATGCTTTTTATACTATTATACATGAATTTAAAATTTTTCTCTCCTTTCTAAAATTACATACAAGTTTATTTTTTTATACTGCCTTTGTAACTTGTGACCTTACTAAATTCACCTATTCATTATAATAGTTGTGAAATGCTTTTTCTGAGTGCACTCAGGCAATTATGTTTTCTTTCTCTTTGTTTGTGTTAATATGGTGAATTCTATTAATTTTTTTTCGAAGGTAAATAAACCTTGTTCTATATATCATGACCAGGTAAATCATATGTATATCCTACTTGGTCATGACATATTATCCCTTTTGCAGATGTTACTGGATCTGAACTGCTAACATTTAGTAAAGAATTTTGCATTGAATTTCATAAAGGATATTGTTTAATAGTTTTCTTTTCTACAAATGTCTTTTGTCAAGTTTTGGAATCACGGCAGCTGGCTTTCTAAAGTGGGTTGGGAAGTATTGTTCCCTTCTCTATATTCTGTAGGAATTTTTGTAGGTTGGTATCATCTCTTCCTTAAATATTTTCCAGAATTCAGTGATGATATCTATGCCTACAGTTTTCTTTGTGGATTTTTTAATTTTTATGATGAATTTAAGTTTATTCAGAATTTTTATTTCTTCTTGTGGTAGTTGTGGTAAATTTTTCTAATCCATCTAAGTTATTGAATTTATTAAGCATGTAGTATTTTATAATATTTTCTCATTATCATTGTAATGTCTGCAGGATGTATAGTAATTTCACCTCTTTTATTCTTACTAGAAATTTACATACACTCTGCCTCTTCCTTTTTTATTTGTTCCCACCTTTGTTTCTGTAATTGTTTACCCTCTTTCTCCTATTTTAATCAGTCTTAATAAGGATTTATCATTTTTTCTCTTTTCAAAGGAAAAACTGTTGGCATTATTAGTTTTCTTACTGATCTCTGCTATTTATTATTATACTTACTTATATTTTGCTTCTTAAATCAATGATTTTGGACCTTTTTTATGATATGAATATTTTAAGGTTTTATATTTTTCTCTAAGCACTTTTTCAGCTGAATCTTACAATTTTTGATGGGTTATGTTTCCATTTAAAATGGAGCAGAAAATATTTTATGTTTTTCTTAAGAATTTCTATTTTTCACAGAAGTTATTTAGAAGTGTATTATATAATTTCCAAATGTTTAGGGATTTTTCCAGATATCTTGTTTGTTACTGGTTTCTAATCTAATTCCACTGAGGTCGGAGAATGTACTTTGTGTGAATTCAGTCATTTACATATGGAGTCATACTTCATGTCCCAGTATTTGGTTTTAGTAAATGTTTCTCATGAAACTGAAAAGTATGTGCATTTTTTCAGTTTGGGGTTGGAATGTTTGATAAATGTCAGGTCAAATTAGTTAGTAGTATTATTCAGATCCTTGCTGGTTTTCTATTTCTTCTTTCAATTACAAAATAAAAAGAGTCTGGAAATCTATTACATTAGCCTCCCCCTAACTGTGGTTTCACTTTCAGTTTCAGTTTCCTGAGGTCAACTATGGTCTGAAAATATTACATAAAATAAGATATTTTGAGAGAGAGAGAGAGTGGGAGAGAACACATTCTCATAACCCTTATTACAATATATTGTTACAGTTGTCTTATTTTATTATTATCATTGTTAATGCCTTACTGTGTCTAATTTTTTAAATTAAACTTTTTTATAGGCATGTATGCATAGGAAAAAACACTTTACATAGAGTTTGGTATTATCTATGGCTTCGTAGGTAGTGGATAAGGGGGGACTGCAGTATAATTATGGATTTGTATATTTCTGTTTTCACTCTATAAGCTTTTGTTTTAAGTATTTTTTTTACTGTACTTTAAATGAATTCATTTTCAGATTGCTATATTTTTTTAATGAACTTTTCCCTTTATCATTATGAAATGCCCCTCTTTATTTCCTACTAAGTTTTTTTGTGCTAAAATTTACTTAGTCTGATATTAGTATAGCCACACCATCTTATAAGTGTTTTCATGGTTTATCTGTTCATT